TTAGATAGTTAGAAAAGCCAAAATGCTTGTTTCATCTCCTACTGTTCAGAGCATGTTGTTTGCAGGAACTTAGTACTTCCATTTTTGAACACACTGATCGGGTGTGCTCTGTGAACATATAAACAATAGAAGTTAAATCTGTTTATGCCAATACCTGTATACACTCTCTTCAGTGCTTTCATAGATGTCTCCATTACAGAATTGCTCTAATCGTTGGGCTGTGTGTTGGGCTCATTTCCATTTTACTGTTACGTTAGGAGGCCCAATATCACCTTTTGCTCCTCATTCATTTATCTCCCAACCTAAAAGTACTACAGTTAGCAAATCATCTCCAGGAGCATCAGGTGATACTATTTTGTACAGCTGGCATATGCCGCTTCATGCATGTGCTCACATTCACGCATAGTCACAACTTATGTACAGATGCACTCATTACAAGCAAAACTTTTTTTTGTTTACTCAAAAATAATCAAAAACCAAGCAGGAAGATGATATGGATAAATGACTTTCAGGTTTAATATTTTATACTTTTCGCTCTGTAGAAAAGCTTTTGAAAGGTTTCAGGGAAGAAAATGTTAGCGTTAAGATTAACATGTGACTCCTTTAGCAGCTTGTAAGTACTAGTTAGGGTACTTCCACAAGCAAAGAGTTTTCATAGTAAAAACTGGCTATCTTGAATGTGTACTTCTTGATAATAGTGCGTTTTTTTTCTCTTCCTAGGGCAAGGGCTGTAGGGATTATAGTTCTCTTCATCCACCCTCCCACCTGCCCCAGTAGAAGCAAGCTTGGATCACAGGCTGAAGCCTAGGTGAAATATTCTGGGCAGGTTTGTTAGTAAGGAAGTGCGCTTAAAGCAGTGTTAGCTCCCCCCCCCCTTAATCAAAGGCTGCACAGAGAAGTGAAATATTAGGGATATAAAATGTAGGTAGATGAATCAAAGAGCTCAGTGCCGCTTTTTTCCTGAATTTTACTACCAGCTGCAGATCATCTGCACTCATAAGTTTGGCAACGTGGCAAGTTGCATTGTCTCACTTTGTGATCACAAGAGGAAAAGGAGGAGTGAAATCATATGGCTGGGTGTAGAGATGGAGGGCAGGACCCTGCTCTTCTGGCACCAGCAGCTTCTTACTTTATGGTGTGCAGGAGGAGAGCAACTAGCAGTGCTGCAGGATGATCTGGCTTTTATGGGGATGGCAGGTTGATTAAGTCCACATGATAATACTGCTGAGAAAGAAGTGTGCCTTCCTGAGAAGTAGAAAGAATTACTGCCTGCGCTCATGCAAAGTGACTCTTCCTTTCTGCTTATTACCAGGAAGACTTATATAGGGTATAGCGCTTGACCAGTGGAAGAAGCCTAGGGAAGAGCAGCAGGAACAATCAGACCTCTGAAGAGAGTTGGAAGGATTTGGGGTTGCTTAAAAAGGAGAGGAAATGACCATGGGTATAATCTTGAAGTATTTAATCTCTTGAGGAAGAAGGTCCGTCTTTCACAGATAGATGGGTAGAATAGGAAGCAGTAGGTTTAAAGTTAGCCACAAAGATGGTAGAAGGTTTAGAGGG